ACAGGACACGCACCTTTTTTTTCAAAATTCTATGCGGACAAAAATATGGAAAACGCGACTGCACCGTGTATGGATTCTGTAGAAGTGCATGTAAGTTTATAGTCATGAAAAGGGCCAACTATAATGATCACTGGGTTTCAATAGGTGAGCATTTGCAATTACGTGCACCATATTCTGCATGCGCGTCTTTTTTCGAGCATGATTTTCATTATTTTTATATTTTTTATTTTTTTATTTTTACCATCAGTTTTCATCATCTTCGCTTAGTTTTTTTTCTAAACCCGTAGTCTTACCTTTCGGCTGAATTGAACAATAGCGACATGTTGCTCAACGTTCCTCTGGCATCACCGACGAAGTTGTTGTACTCGCTGCCAGAAAGCAGTTCGGCCATCTCCTGCAAAAAAATCTCACAATTATTTGTTCACTTGGGTCAGAAAGGAAATCTAGCTTACCGCAAATTTCGCCACATTTTTCGAGTTACGGCTAAGCCGAGCACCAACTACAGTAGCCGAGGAAATGTTGGAGATGGACTGATTCAAGTGCTCGACATCGTACCCAAATCGGTCAACATCAGCAACCAAATGGTGAACGCATTCGTCACATCCTGATAAATTTGAAGTCTTGGGTATGGTCCGGAATGCGAGCGGTAACAAAGAGGATAAGAACTCACGTCGACATCCATATGTGGGAATCCTCAAGTAAGACTGAATACATTGATCACATCTGGCTCCGGTGGCTCCTTCTTGACAATGGCATTGTCCAGTACGGACATCGCATACCGTACCCATGGAGAGATCTGCCTCACAGTCGCACTCTGCAAGAGTAGTTTGGGCGTTTGAAGTGCACGAGTTAGAGGCACCGTCCCAAATCGAGATGTGGTGAGATGATAGCTGGGCCTCTACTTAATCAAATGCCCAAGTTTCGGAGCGAGAGGTGAAGTTAGACGCGAGAAACTCGCTTCAGAAGGTAAAAGCGGCGGTGGTCGCTCCGCCCATCAACGTGTGATTGATTGAAGGTGCAAAGTCCAAAACTGGACTTAAGAGTGTCTAAACTTGTCCAAGTATGATAGTTATGACGAAGAGCGAATTTTCGACAGTTTTGGAATATTCAAGCTTGATTTCGGATTTGTATTTCTAGACCACCCACGCTGGTGGGCGGGGCAACCACCACCGCTTCTATTTTCTGGAGCAATTTTCTTGCGTCTAATTCTACCTTTTGCCACGGAACTTGGGCAATTAATTTGTTAAGGT